GGCGCGGGGGCGGGCGCCGGCGCCCTGCAGGACGGGCCTGTCTTCAGCACGTGCGCGGCCGACTGCATGCGCCCGCACCTGGGCGACGTGCTGGAGTTCCTCACCGACTTCCACACGCTCAGCAAGATCAAGGTGAGAGAAACCCGCCCACTTATCTGGAGGACCGCTTTTATCTGGTATCTCGTGCTCTACTTTTGGATCCCGTTATCAGCCGTGCTCTGTTGTGTAATTATGTCATAACTTCTAACTTTGTACCTCGTTCTTTCGGGGATTTACACTACAATCGGGTTGTGGTTGATGAGAAGTTTTAGTAAATGCGAGGGCGGAGTGCTTGGATGTCTGGGAGATGCTCCGGCTTTAAATACAGGAGCCAAAGGTCCTGGCATCTGTGGCAGGCCTAGACCCCTGTGCCTAGGACGCGGAGTCTCCAGGACAGCTACTCTTAATAATAGCGTTCCATTCATCCGGGATATGTCGATATCAAATTAGTTCTTCCTTTCATTCAGTTGTAATACGTATAGAGAAAAGATATGATGTACGTAATTCATTTAGTCACATACAGTGATTTCATACTGTACTTTATACTTTTGACTTTCACCCATACAGTTACTTTGTACTGTTGTGTTACTTCGTGGCTGCAATGATAATTGCTTGCTCTCGAGTGACGCATGACGTCACTCCTGTTTCTGAGTTCACGCGTGGACTGTCCGTTCATGACCTTTATTGATACTGAAATACCCTGAACCAGATGGACTTTCAGGAGACGAAAAGATGGGCATGGATTCAGCACCATCGTACACGCAGAGGCGAGTGAATATATCTGCTTCCGGCTACGAAACAACCTCTTGTTGTGTATTAGCCTCTACTTTACGGATATCGTATATTTCTCTTACAATAATGAAAGATTTCTGAAAATATTGTTACTAGAATGAGCGGTACAACAATCTTATTGAAGGACCGAAAACGAATACTATATAAAAACCATTTTTAACTAATATTCTTTTTCAGTAGAATATGAAAGTAGTAATATTATAGATTGGTATGATAATCACGACGTTAAACTAAATGATGTTTATTTCAACCCTATTGATTCGTATTTATTTGTTGTATTTTTTAAGTTTCCAGTCATAAAGTGGTTATCATCTCTTTTGAAAAAATTCAATTTTATCTACCCCTTTTTATATTTCTCAGTCGACCAATTTACAATGCATTTGTGTAACGTTTATATTTAATTTCCTCTTAACCCCTCAACCCTGTACTTAGGTTGGGTGCAGTAGAATTCCAACGCAGGGGAAGAGAAAAGGGAGAGTGGGGGAACAGGTTAGCCGAATCAGTGCATCTCCACACCGTATCTCGCCGCAGAAGATAAACACGACATGCCATCTAGGTACAGACACTCTCGAACAGAGGTGAAAGGGACATACCGTCTCAAAACGGTATATTTTTATTATTATTCTATTAGCTTATGGGTTATTTTGCGGGTAAAGGGCATTGGCCATATTTCCACTCTCGACCCGCCCTCCCTTTGGAGCCTAGCCAACGCGCGGGTCTTGGACACCGTCTTCAAGCCGGCGCGCCCTTGAACGCCTAGGAGTGACTCTTACTTCCTCTGACTCATATAGGCTCAGTTCACGACATTCGAACGCTGGTTGTGAGAACGTAAGACCTCGTTGGGACGAAAATTGATGGAGGGATTTAATTTTGTCGAGTACCTGCTAGAGTTCTTTTACGTGTCACAAGCATGGTATGACTGTGAGATTTTTCGCCCCTCGAATATCCACGCGCCTCAGCCAGAATCGAATCCCCTGGGCTCTGGGGATTTAGAGACCAGCAAAACTAACCACTCGCCCATCAAGATGCTCAGGAAGATATTCCGCGTTGAAGGTTGTAGGTTCGGACACTCTCGAATAGATGTGAAAAGACCATGCCGACTGCTGACGGCATTCCCGTGCTTAAGGGCCTCTGAACGCAGCCTCACGAAGAGAACCGAAAAGAGGTCGGAGGCATTCCACGTTGAGGGGCGGAACTTGTCTCGGGCTGTGCGGTTACAGTATTCGCACTTATACATTAGCGCAGCTCTACGACGGCGTGTTGGTGAGCAACTCCAGCGACAAAGAAACACTACTCTGCCGCGCCATACAGCATCGTTATTCTAAATGTGACCAAAAAGCAATTTTTTAAAAATATTTTTTTATTTTCCTCATGAATATAACTAAAAAACAACATATGAAGTAAAAGTCTTGAACAATTTTGTAGGAAACAAATTATTTATTTCTAATGAATATTGTTCATTGAAAGTGAATACTGGAATCACGAGGAAGAAAAGGGTTTCTCTATTTTTCATGCAAATATCTAGAAACTTAAGTAATCTAATAAGTAAATAAGGGTATCCATGCGGTAATCATAATTTTGTTGTGCAATTGAATCACTTATCGCCTTTTCTTTATAGCACTTTTGAAAAAGTGGAAAAAAATAAAACCAAGCTATATTTCCTTCATTATTGCTGGGTTTCATTACAGGACAGTGCGCCGCTTTCAACACAGGCATCGTTATTAATGTGTAAACTAGAATTATGTAAGTATTTGGTTGGTGCATTCAAATGTGTCCCGATACATGTCAAATAAATGGTTCTATGTAAGTTAGTTCTATGTGAGTTTGCGTGTTATTTCATGATTTGCCCTTGAAATACTAGGAATATAAAAGCACGAGGTCCGGAAACAGTACGAATTACTTTTTAACTTTTTAACTAGCACTAATAAACGCATTTTTACAAACAAAAGCGGGTACTTCAGTAGCAACTAGTCGTAGTTTCAGTTTGTCTCCACCAGGATCGCTAGCTCTATGTGCAGTCATTCCTAACTACACTGTTAAAAATGTGTTTAAATATACTGTAGATTAATGTATTGTACATGAAACTTAGTATACTTCTACATTAAATTTAATAGATTAGTCAAAATCAGGTAATATTTAATAGATTTAATATTGAAGTTCTCCCACTTCCCCTGCCTCTCACCATTCATATCGTATATTCAAAATCACCAGTCCATGAAAAATTATTCCTTCCTTCCAGGTATAACAATAATGCTTTGAATCTTGCATCCTAATGTACACTTGTACATTAAATTAGATGAGCTTTCATGATAATTACATGACCGTTATTTACGTTAAAGTAATCCGGAAATTTCCGACATTGTATAAATTTAAAACACGTACTGAGCTGCGCAACTGTATGATACGTGGCGCTTGTTTTTTTATTGATCGAATGATGTGTGAATGGTTCAGTAGTTTTTACTTTTTCACACGTATTTTGAATGACTTATAGTAAACCTAACCTAAAGCTAATTCTAATCTAATTACATTGATTTCGGATATTCACTGAGCACATACGCTTAGTTTACATCTGAAAACATGTGGAAGAAGGCATGTAGTGGATGACTATTTCGGCGGATGAATATTTCGGATTTATTGAGGATATACTTGAGTAGAAATTGTTGGAGAGATGAGCGATGTAATGATTCATGGATTGTAAGTGTAATTCTTTATGGTATTGATTATTGAAAATTAATCATGGAGCGTGACTGGCTAATCTTAAATGTTTCTTTTGGATTATTTGTATTTGATAGATGTTTGTTAAGTGTTCGTCCAGATGGGGCAAGCATACAGCATTAGATGTCTAATAATTGTCTTGTATAGGGTTCCACCATTTGTTAAGGAGATTCTGCTCTTGTGATTTAGTGCTGGTTTTTAGCTGGATTAAATTAGTTTTGGTTTGTTGAATTTTCGTTGCTATGTGGGATTTCCAGGTTAATCTAAAAGTGTAGTCCTTGTAGTAGTGTTCAGTTTGGTTCAATGGGGATTACGTTGTCATTAATTGGGGCGGGGCGCGGGCGCAGAGTTACAGCAAGGGGCTGGCGGCCGGGCTGAACGAGGACACGCTGGGCGGCGTGCTCAAGAGCGGCGTGGCGCAGTACGTGGCGCTGGAGCTGAGCCGCGGCAACTCGCGAGACAGCCGCTCGGTGGCGCGCTACCTGCCCTGGCTCTACGTCGCGCCCTCCACCGTCGCCCAGGGGTAAGCTCCACATCGCTCGCCTTCGTACGGTGCAGTAGATCGCCAGGAATGCGGAACGTCGATAATCGTTTCTTCGAGTTTCGATTCTCACGACGAATCGATTCTCACGATGAATCGATTCTCACGAGGAATCGATTCTCACGAGGAAAAGAAAGAAGTACCGAGTGTCCCTCTATATGTACGTTAGTATATAAGTATGTATGTACTGAGACGCAATACATATGTGTGGATCCCGCAGGGGAGTGTGACGAATAGAAGTTTCAAAATTTGCCGCACCAAAAACGCGGCGTTTTATTACAAGCGCGAGACGAAGGCGAAATTTTGAAACTGTTTTTATTCTTCACATTCCCCTACAGGATCCACGCATATGTGTTGCGTCTCAGAATGTATGTACAAATTGGTTTTAAAGAGTGGACACGATATATACTAATTTTGTTAAAACTTGTTAAAACTATTGAGCGGCAAAATATGTGTAACCAAATAATATATTGACTATTGTAACAAATTTATTAACTTCTCTAACCATCAGAGTAACTGATGAACCATTTTAGCAATTTTTTTTTGAAGACGTCTACCATGTCTTTATTTGATTCATTACAAAATTCGATAATTTGATAATACAGAAGGGATGTGGACGATACTAATCCAGATTATCGATGTTCCACTGCATGCTGTGAATATCTCGATGCGTATGTATAACTCTATGAATATAATTGCCTTCCGGAAGTTTTAAAAAATTGAGTTTGAATTAATAAAACCAAGTTTCATGATTACAGAAGCTGTTGTATATATGTTGTTATTTACTAAACTACTCAAGCAAAGTCAAATATGACTTGGCCTCGAAGTACAAGGTTAGAAATTGTATTTTTTATTTAAAAACCAAGAGATTGTATTCTTATTCTGATTGAAGGTTCCTGCATCGAACAGAGAATATTATAAATACGCTAGGCCAAATTTCTAGTGGTTCGTGCAGGAAAAAATACCCACAGAATTTTATGGAAATGCGAGAAGCAATATTTCGTTTACTAATTAGTAGTCATTTGAAAATGATAGTGCAACTTTAACGTTAATTTTTGCATTTCAGTAAAACAGCTATAACCTTATCTAAGATAACATTTTTTACTGAAATTGCACTTTTTACATTCACGCCTGGATTTATTTTCCTTGATGTAGAAATAAGTGGTAAAGCTGATGGTGGGCCTGACTACCAGGTCATTTTGATAATGGAAGAAGGATACAAAGAAAATGGATCGCTTCTATGGGATTCTCTTGAAACAGAATATTATAGAAGACAATGGGGATTCGAAATTTAAAAAAATATTTTTTATTATTTTAAAAGTGTTGCTTTTATTATTTTGTAACTTACATGCAATAAATGTTATCTGGAAAATAAGAAACCAATCAACATAAGCATAGTTGTCATATTCAGTGACTAAAAATCATAAGTACATTATGTTATGTAATTCCATAACAGTGCCATTTAAAGAATTGCTGTATAATGTAAAAAGTCCCGCAAAGTAGGGGCTTTGATGCAACAGCTTCGATTAACAAAATTTAATGAGTAAACTAGGTAAAAATGAAATATAAAGGATCATTAGAAGAAGGAAAAAACGAATACCCATGGAACGTACATTTGAGACTATGACCAAAAAGAACAAAAACATTTAAAAACATTAGGAAAATAATCTATTTGATCACTTGTTAATATTTCTTCCTACTCACAGGGTACGCCATGCGGAATCGCATTTTTATTAGTGGCACCACTGGGAGATGCGCAAGATTTTGACCTCCTCGTGGTGTGAATCTCCGTTTGTCAATCCACAGATATGAGACACAATTACAGGATCTCCTGTGGATTCCTAAAACGTTTCTTCCTTTTAACCCGCTAAATAAGTAGAAAGTAATAGCGTTAAATGTATTCCTCAGTTACATCAGTGAATTTGAACGTTTAAAAGTGAGTCGTAACTATAACGCAGTAAGCGCGGAATTATTCTCTGTCACAGATTCTCAAATTTTGGATTGTATGAATCGCCATTTTTCCGAATGCTCTTGTAATTCACTTCAAGATATTTATACAATTTCAGGTAAAATAGTTTGTGGAAGTTGTCAAATTAAGAAGCATTGTGGCTTTTAATTTGTTTTCTGTAATTATTTTCAATCTTAATGTGATGTAATTTTGTTTTACGATGTTCTGATCATGGTAAATTATATTCGTGATAACATAACTTGATTATTGAAACATAGATCTTGGAAAAAAATATAAATATCCGCATAAACTTCCACAGTCGAAACAGTTCAATTTCTATAGTAAAAAATGAAATCACTATAGGACCAGGATTATTATATTATGATACTAGCTAGTAATTAAACTATATGACCTGATATTAAATACTACTCTGATGATAGGCAATTATTAAGAAGATATACGAATGATGATAGAACAAAGATGGAATAAAAGGACGGAAAAATATCTGAACCTCGGTATAACTTCTCTCGAATCTGTTTTGACCACCACAAATTCCCGGAATTCGAACCCCGTTCTCAGCGGTGGAAGACGAACGGTCTGCAGACTTCACTGCGAATCATCCTACCACTAAAGTATTAAAAGTGAAATTTTCGTTAGAAAACAATTCAACGGAGATTTCACTTTTAAACTCACAACGGATTAAAAGTAAAGTGTTCGTTATAAAAGAGGTTTGAGAGCATTCACAGCCCTATACAAGGCGGTGCTTCGGGGATCCGCTCTTGGAGATTCCCTGCTGCAACGGATGTTGCTGCTTGAGTGCGTTTCGAGGCACGGCTGAGTGGAGCCCCTAGATACAGAGAGCAGCGCAACCTGAACGGCCGCCGCCATTTGATATCCTCTTTTACTATAACACCGCAGTCAGGAATTGAGCCTACAGGAATTGAGGGGAAATCATGCTAATTGAAAGCATAATTTAGTGAATCGAGGGCTTTGGGTAGCATGCTGGTTCTCAACACAAAACGTTGAAGCCTCGTGACAACTGTGTATAAAATGGCGGAAAGCCTTGAATTACAAAACAGTCTTGAATTATTTCATTAACGTTATCCACCATTACAATCTACTCTGAAAAAGATTTGCCTTGATTATGCCTTGTGGCTGAGGTTAGAGTTTCTAGATACAGATACAGTAACACAACCTGAACGGTCGCAGTGAATCGAGTACCTCAATTTTGGTTTAGGATAAAATGGTAGTCCTCAACATATAGCGCTGTTCGAGCTTTTAGTCATGGCGTATTCATGATTGGCGAGGGATTTAATCTTCTTGTAAACTTGCGCTTAGCAGCTATTCTACGCTTCTGGGAGAGGCCGGTGTGAAGAAAACGCATCGAATTCGACGGAGAATATACCCTTCAGAGCCTGCAGAACCCTAACATGTCTAGCAGATTTACTTTTCTTTTTACAGCAAAATTCACTCGCGCGCCAACGATTTGGCGTTTTAGAGCGTTCTAGCAGTTCGATTTAGCAACATACCAATTTGCCAATAAAAGTTGCAAACAGATGCTACCCGGTGCCTACAACTCTTCAGCGCGAACGGTCACTATGATACTGAGGGCGACCAAGAGAGAACGAAATTAATTGGGTTAAATTAGTTTAAGGAATATTAGTTTAAGGAAGAACCGAACACACAATATCGGACAGTTGAAACTCTCCTGAAAACTGGATATACCGACTGATTTGAATCAGAGTCAGCCTTATCATTGACTTAGCCGCGACTCTGTCCGGGAGCCCCGTTCGAGTCCCGCCAGTGGCAGATTTTCGACAATTGCTATATCCACTACCTGGGGGAGAATTATAGCCGCCTTGCTTTCATAGGTAGTTTTCCTTGTTTTTTTTCCGATTAAGATCAGGGGAATACCGGAGAAGTACCCTACCAAAGGGGCTACAGACCGCGCGCTATCTTTTCTTCCTCATCCTTGTCAATTCCTCTCCCTTCCTCCCATTCACTTATACTTGCATGGACTACACTACCACAAATATCGGGAGCTTAGAGATTTTTTTGAAGGCGGCGGTGCCTCGCTGGCCGAGATACCTGAAGAGGGAAACCTCGTCAGCGGACGTGTGTCAGAACCAAAACCCACATTGTTTTGGGGGATACACACGGCCACCTTCTGAAATGTAATAAACAGTACATTTATATGATAATGACAAGAGCAGCATTCGTGCACGGAAACCCAGATACGTACAACTCTGGCATTTTGGGTCGACTGTCCGATTTTACCGTCTAGATAACGGTGTCAACCATGCGTGGGCGTAGTTTAATTCCCACAGGTAAGAGAGACACGTGCCAAACATGACTATTTCTCTTCATAACAAGCAAATTTCCCTTACCTGAGATTACCTTCGAAAGCCAGTCACAGAAAACGATTTTGCTTCGATCGTGAATCAAACCCTGGATCACATCATGGGAAACTAAGCTGCACATAAGCCATCCTAGAGGCACGTAAACACCAATCAATCATTCAATAAATAACATCTGGACATAATTTGTTGGAGGTTGTTGATTAGTGATTCCGGGCGCGCCAAATGCTAAGGTAATTAGTCCCGTACGTGTAGTGGATGTTTTATCGGGAGGCGGCGGTGGATAGTGCGATTCGGCGCCGACTTGCAGTCGGCTAGCAGGGTTTTCTTCGAGTGGGTACCTCCCACCAGCGGGACGCCGCCCCAAACGAGACAAATTCGAAACAAGTCCCCCGGCATGTGTGGTTGATCTAAGTGTAAGTAAGCGGAGAGGATAGGACAAGGAAGAAGGAAACACCGCGCGCGGTCCGTTACCCATTTGTTTGGGTACTGCTCCGGCTCGTCTAGTGTTGATCGGAGAAACCTACCGATCAGATCAGCCATCCGCTAGAATTCTCCTCCAGGCAGCGACAGAACTCGACCTGGCTATCTGGCTAGTACCGAATATCCTGCCCCCGTTGGATCTCCGGATGTGAGGCACTGCAGTGCCCTGAGCCCCCTCTCCCGGTAGCTGGATA